CATCGCAGCCTCACATCCCTGGTGGAGGTGGGGCAAAGAGGACTGACGTTCAGAGAGCTTAGGGATTTGGCCTGGGCTGGAGGTAAGTGAGGGGCAGGGACAGCCTAGAATGCCCTCTTCTCCACCATGAGGTTGGAGAGCACGACTGGTTCGTGCCCGAAACCAAGGAAATTAGCAGGGCAGGACCAGGGTCCCGGGAACTTGGAGGAAACCTCCCTTGCCCTGGACTGAGCCCCTCTTTTTCCAACTACCCCCTCCCCCACCCCGCGCCCCCGTCTGACCCCTTTCCCTGCCCGCCACCCCCTCCTCCACGCCTCTGCTCCTCCCCAGCCCCATCGCGGATTCATCCCCTGCAGGCCCTGCCCTATCCCCAACACTCCACACAGCCCAGCCCTGTTGGAGCCTCCACCTTCCGCTCCCTGACCAGGGGCTGCAGCCCTTCTTTCGCTTTCCCTCGCAGCGCTGGATTACAGCCGCGTTCTCCCCCTGACCCCAGACTGCGGCGCCCTCCTCCTCCTCCATCCCCCGCACGCCTTCCCCACCCCGGCCCCTCCTCCTCTTCCCCCTTCCTCCCCTGCGATCCTCGCTCCGGCCAACCAGAGGCTCCGGCCAACCAGAACGTAAGAAGGCCAAACCCAGACCTTCGGCGTCCGTGCGCTGCTCAGTCAACGGGCCGGCGGCGGAAGAACCCGCCTGTAGGCTCTCGCCCGGCAGCTCTGGGAAGCCAGGGGGTGTCTTCATCTTTGTGGTTCTCCTGCTCGACCCCGGAGGCGGCGGGGCCAGGACCCAACTGGTCCTTACTCTCAAATGAATTTCAAATGAACCTATCTCAAAATACTAGACGAAATTTTGAGGTATAATCTTGAAGAGGGGAAGTCTTTGATTTGACATTACATCGTAAATATTCGAACAGCAAAAATTAACAAGGACTATAAACTGGGGGAAATATTTGCAACACATATGGCAGACAAGAAGGTAGTTTCTTTACTACAGAGTTTATACAAATCAGTTTTTAAAAGGATCACCAATCCAACAGGAAAACTGCTAACAGGAAAACTGCTCAAGAACATGAACAAGCAATTCGCAGAAGAGAGATACGCATGGCTTTTAAACACGGGACACGATATCCAGTTTCACTCATAATTAAATGCAAATTAAAACATGAGAGCTTTTTCAATTCTCAGATCAGAAAAGACAAATAGCAGTTTTAGAGAGGATTCAGGTAAATGGGCATTTTCATACACATACTAGGAACCACATTTGCAATTTCTATCAAATGCACCTACCCTCTGATTTACCAATTTATCCTGCAAAGTCGCACACATCCCAAGGACTGTGTGCTGGGATATTCAGCACAGCATTGTTTGTAATAGCAAAAGATAGAAAAGAACCTACATGCCACCAACAGGGCACTCGCTACATGAATCATGGTACATCTATACAATGGAATATGACGACAGTGAAAAAAAGAATGAGGTAGACCTTACAGGCTAATATAGAACCATCTCCAAGACACACTCAGTGAAAAAAGCAGGGTACTGTAGACAGTGTGTATCCTACGCTCCTGTTTGTGTGTCTCTATGTATGAGTTTTAAAGGGTTGTCTCTGGGGTACTCCTTCCTGGGGTACTCTGGGATGGGAGGGAGACTTAGTTTTCATTGTTTGCTTTCCAACCATTGCACTTTTTACCACAGGCAAGCACTGTTCTTCCAATATAACAAAGAACTTTTAGATGAGGAGAGGGCTCCCTGGAGGCACACTGAGAAAGTAGCTTGGGATAAAGGGGCACAGGCTTTGGCCTCAGAGTTATTCTAAACCTGACTGTGACAAATGGCTTTGAAAATAGGAATAAGAGAACCTCCATTCTCAGGTGAGGATTAAATGAGATAAAGAACACCTGTCATTTAGCACTGTGCCTAGCACAGGAACCCTTCAACTAATGGAGTGGTTACAATCTGCTGTTGGCCCAGCAGGGGGTCTTGGGTAGCCAGGTAGCCTGCTAGGACTTAGGTTGCCTCCCACAACCCTCCTCCCAATGCTACAGAGGTGTTAGCCACTGTGAACACAGGAAGGCCCCAGAGAGGCACAAGGAAACCAGGGCCTGTCGGGCCTGGGCCAGGCCCCATTGTCACAGGTCATGTCTCACCAGGGTGTGGAGGCCCACATTTCTGGCTTGGGAATTTGCTGCTCGATCTTTCATGCCCTTTAAGGCCTCCTCATTCCATCAGTCCCTTCTCCTGTGGCTCCCTGCCACTGCCTGGGTCAGTATCCCATGGTCTCTCCTCGACTCTGACAAAAGCTGTCTATGTGGTCTCCAGGATTCCTTTCTTCTCTCACCAGCCTAGCCTCCACATTCCAGCCACAAGTGTATGTCACAAACACTGGGGTTACACATATTCCCCGGCTGAACTCCTAGGCCTGGCGTTAGATCCCTGGTAACTGGGCACCTCATTTCCCCAGATCCTTATTCTGCTTCCCCTCACTACTCATTCCACACTCCACAACATCTCACCACTCTGAACTAGCCATGATCTTTCTCTTTTATTAACTTTTCCCCTCCTGATCATAAAAGCAGTTCAGGCTCATTGTAGAAAATGTAACCACAGGAAAATTTAATCACTGTTAACACCCGATGTACTTACGTCCTTCCAGTCTTTTCTATACCTGTAAATTTAAGAAAACTGGGCTCTCTGTACACATCATTTAATTCTGTACTTTGCATTTTTCATTTAATACTATTGTGAACATTTTATCGTATCACTATTCTTTAAATTATGATTTTTAGTGGTTGCCTAATATTCCATCATATCGTAATTTAATCATCCCCTATTGTTAGTCACTTGGGTTGTTTCTACTTTTTGTAAAATAATAACATTGCAAGTATATAAATCATTGTCGAAATATTCATCTTTAGGATAGCTTTCTAAAAGTGGTACTACTGTATCAAAGGATATCAACATTTTTTAAATAGTTTAGCTTCCCCTAAATGGTCGTGGTTTAAAATGTATAAATAACAATGATGGGATAAGGGGAACGAACTTCTAGAAGATGGAAAATGGACGAAGTGGTAACAGAAAGTTGAGTGGAGGAAGTAATAGCTTGGAATCCTTGCTGAGGGCAATACAATGGAAAGAGGCAGCTGATCTACCCTGCCAAACGTCAGAGCTACTTGGGACTTGGAAAACCCATGTACAATGAAGGGTTGGAGGGAGAAGTGGGGCTAAAAATAATGGCATTGGCCGAAAGTCTGTAGTAACACTTGATTCCCTTCTCTCTTATTCTAGAGAAGCATGCACAGCATCCAACCCCCAGACAAAAACATCAGAGGATTTTTTGCTAAAGAAATGTAAGAGCCCCACACAAAAGATCTCTGCATTCTGGCATTTAGAGGTCTCCAGGGAAACAGCTTGCTCCCTACCAGCCACTCTAGAGGGAAACTTTTACTGAGCAAATCCCACTCCCACACAGAGGACTCAACTGGGCTTTCGATGCACACACAGGGATATATTTGTGCGTGTGTGTGTGTATCAGTAAGAATCATATTTGAGGAAAGTCTCCAATGACAGTAAACAAGATAAAGAGAAAAAAGGACCCAAGGACAGAGGCATGAAGGGGGTGAGATAATTCAGGTGACAGAAGAGACTTTTAAGAAAACCTTTCTAATTAGAATACTCAGCTTTGAGAGGTATCTCTAGAAAGAGAACAGTATGCTACAAAAGAAGAACAAACAGAAAACAAGACTCCTAGAAATTAAACTAACTACTGCCCAAATAAAAAATTCACTAAAAAGCCTGAAAAGTAATCAAGGTACTCTCCCAGAAAACAGCACAAGACAAGGAAATGCAAATAATAGAGAAGGTAGTTGAGGATTAATCTAGAAGGTCCAACATTTGATTGACAGGAATTACAGAAAGAGTAAAAACAACAAAAAAAATATGACAAGGCGGAACTGTCACATAAATAACACAAGAAAATTTCCAAGAGTTGAAGTACCTGAGTTTGTATATTGAAACATTCCACCGAGTACATTAGGGAATTGAGTACACCAAGGATAAAGAGGAGACTTTAAAAGCTTCCAAGCACAGGGGTGGGGGAACAGATCACAGTAAATATTATTTATTGATTGTCAAAGAAAGAAGTATCAGACTGGAATTGATATCTCATTAGCAACAGTGGTTGCTGTAAGTCAGGGAGGCAATGCCTAAAAACTTCTGGGAAAATTTTTCAACCTAGAATTCCAGAGCCAGTCAAACTACCAAATCAAATGTGAGAGCAAAGAAAGTTGTTTTAGATATGTAAGCGCTCAACAATTTTGCCTTTCACATACTCTTTCTTGGCAAGTGACTTGAAGATGCACTGCAGTAAAATGAGGGAGTAAATGAAGAAACAGGAAGATATGGAAATCAGGACACAGTGGAGCCCAGTATAACAACAGAACAGTAGGCAGAAAGAACATCAAGGACGGACTGGAGCATGAGGCTGGAGGTCTCTGGAAGGGAAATATACTGGAAAAAAGGGGACTCTGTTAACAGAGTATCTAATTGGATGGAGAATTTGAAAACAGCTGAGGATGTGCTAAAAGCAACCAGTACAAGGGGAAAAGACCTAAAACTTTAGTAAAAACAAAACGCTGTTCTAAAAAGGAAATATAATCATAGCAAGCTACTTAGATCTGCAGTGAACAACATTTACATGGTCATAATAACACTCATGTTGTTTATTTTCAACTTTCAGAACAAATCAATAAACAAAGCATAAAAGACTAACTATGGTTACAGAACAGAATTCAAGATTATCAGACTTGACATTGTCAAAGGCAGAGAGGTGGAAAAGGGGAGAAGCAAAGGGCAGGATCCCATATCTTACAAAATGGGGAATTGAGATACTGTTTATAGTCAATACAAAACTAAACATGTAAATATAATAATAAATTTTTCCTAATTATAACATTCTTGCTCCTTATAGAAAATATGAAAATTACTAAAAACCAAAAACCCTGATAATTACCCATAATGCTATTATCAATAGGACCTGGGTTTGAGCCTAAGCTCTGCAACTTACCATCCGCATGGCTGTGAATGAGTCACTCAACCACTTAAAACATTTTCCTATATTTCCTTCAGGTAATTTATCTATATACTTTTTAATAGTATATAGTATATGTAACAATATTATGTGAAAATGGTACTATATATGCAATTTTGAATCCAGATCTTCTTCACTTTAAAGCATCAAGTAAAACTCTGGATACATATCCTATCATGCTATTCTATACTTCTAAATATACTTCTAAATATGCCCTTGGCCCTAGAGCAGTCAGAGGTTTCCCAGAGACAGGACATAAACCATATCTTCAAAGGAACCTAAGGTTAAGCAAAGCAGACAGGGGCTGGTGGGGAGTGATGGTGGGGTATCACAGGCTCCAAGAATGGTGTGAGCAAAGGCACGGAGAAAAGCAAGTACCTGCCTCTAGGCTGCAGTAAAAGGTGCATAGGAAGTGAAGAGATTGGAAAGATTATGAAATTCAGTAAATCATGTTAAGGGATCCAGACATTTTCCCCATAAGAGACATGAGATGAGGGTCTGGTAGACCTTGTTTGCCTTGGCACCCCATCTAGTGGCATGTTTGCCACAGAGTGCCTAAATTTTTGTAATGAACAAATGATACATAGAAAGCCAGAAACATCTCCTGGGTTTCCAGTCTGGGTGCTCCAGGTGGTGGGAGTGATACCATTTGCTGAGGGAGGGAATCCAGGAGAAGCAAGATTTAAAAAGGTATGTGTCTAGGCAACATCCTTAGAGTCTGTAGTCTGATTTCATTTTTTAAAAATGTCACTGGTGATTCTGTAGTGCATCCCCAGGTGAGAATTTAGGCCCTAGAACATCCATGGATTGGCTTCAAGGAGCCTGTATGCCCCCCACAAATGAGCACAAAACTGAATGAGCAATCTGCATTTCTTCAGGAGAGGATCCACAACCTTTATCAGATTCTCAAAGGGGCTGTGACCCCAGAAAGGTTAGGCACATTGGATGGAGGAGCAAGTGAAGAAGCAACAGATGTGGGAGATGGACAACTGCCTAAGCAAGGGAGGGAGGGGACTCAGAGCATAGAGAGAGGATTAGCTTCGCTCAAAGACACCTCTTCCTGAGCCTGGAGGAATTCATGGCCTATTGGGTTTGAGAGGGTGTCTGTGTGTTGATGTAGACTCTCTCCCCCATACTGTGTATGTGGATGAAGAATCTCTCCCCCATACTCCCAAAGCACGTACATGATTTCATTATTTTTGCATCACTGTGCTCCACTTAATACAAATCTGTTGGTCTCATTTGAGGGTAAGGACTTGGCTCTACCCTTAATGCCCATCATTAGGCCTGGCTCTTTGATAGCCAAAAGTCTGACAGCTCTTGGCAACTTAACAAAATGGGGCTTCAAAGTTCCCATCCACTTCTAGCAAGACCAGCCAAGGGAGAAGGGAGATGACCCCAAGGAAAAGGAAAACCAAGGCCAACTTTGACAAGGGGTAGTCACTCCTCCCCTATCCAAAACCATGAAGAAAAAGGAGGGTTGTAATTTTTTTTGAGGGCAGGAATTGGACTGGGACGAAGAGCTGTTATTAGTTGGGGAAGGATATCATCTGTCTAGTAATCCACCAGGCTCACATGATTTGTGCAGGACTGGGGGTCCTAAACCTGGGTGCAGGTTTGTGGAAACTCAGACCTGGAGATGAAATAAAAGCAGAAATGTAAAAAGCCATTTTGGTGATCAAGGAACATGTTATGTAAAACTCAGCCTGCTCATATAATAAATACAAATAAAAGGGGCCAGTCCGGTGGTGTAGTGATTAAGTTGGCGAGTTCTGCTTCAGCGGCCCGGGGTTTGCAGGTTCGGATCCTGGGTGTGGACATATGCACTGCTCATCAAGAGATGCTGTGGCAGGCGTCCCACATATAAAGAAGAGGAAGATGGGCACGGATGTTAACCCAGGGCCAATCTTCCTCAGCAAAAAGAGGACTGGCAACAGATGTTAGCTCAGGGCTCATCTTCCTCACCAAAAAAATAAAATAAAATAAAATAAAATACAAATAAAACAAGTTAGGTCACAGAATCCTAACAGCCAAGGGTTGGCAGAGGCACAGAAGGACCCCCAGTGCAGCCAATGTGGTTAGCAGCCAGTTTTGCTGAAACCACAGAGAACACTCTGCCCATCCAGATCCTTATACTGGAGCGCCCCCTCCACCTTTGATCTCACACATTCTTGGCCTGCCAGCTTTACCTCACTGCAGTGGCTCATTACCTTGGTTGCATATTGGATTCCCCTCTGGAGTTTTAAGAAATACTGAGGCCTGGAAATAGGAAAATTTTAAAGTGCCCCAGGTGATTCTAACGTGCAGCCAAGGTTGAAAACCATTGCTTTACTGCAAGGCTGGGTCAGTGATTCCTAAACCTAGCTTTACATCACTATCACCTGGGTAGCTTTTCTGACATATGTATGAATGGAAATCTTTAGCCAGGAAATCACAATCATCTTGAGTATTCAATTATGAGGATGACTACACAATGTGAAGCTAAAATAGCTTAACTGTCTTAATGGTCATAAATCCCAGCTAATATCATTCAGCAAAGCATACTTCTAGCCTCTTGGTGCGTCAAGGTCACTAATTTATCCCAAATCTTCACACCTGCTCTCCCTCTTATGAGCTTCCTGATCATGCAGGAAGAAAAACCTAACTTGTTCCCAATCTCACCAGAGACATGTGCTGTTATCTTTGGGTCTCTCCAATCTCAGACAGGGGGACAGGAACAGTCACTGTAAGGGTCAGTGAGGACACGAGCATTTTTGATTGTTACTTTTGAATCCCATTGATTTCTTGTATTTGTGTCTGTATGATTTAGAGTGAAACTGGGAAAAAAAGTTGCACATGCTTTGATGAAAGACTGTAGTTGAAGGGGCAAAAAGGTTAAGAGGAAATTAGTAAGCTTTCTTGTGTTTGCCTTCTGTATGTGAGAGTGCTCTGTAAACGACAATACACTACGTTGATTAACCTTTAGTCTTGTAGAAATGAGGCAATAAATGCATGGGACTTCTGCACAAGAGTCGCAACAGACTGCGTATCACCAGGTATGGCATTTATGATAAATGCTCTTGCATGCTGAGAGCAGGGGCGGAGAGACAGACTCAGAAATCAGGGGACTCAAATTCCAGTCTTAGATTTGCTGCTTGCTACTCACACTGACTAAGGCACACCCCAGAATCTGTCACCTCAGCTTCCTCACCTGAAAAGGAGACTATATGCCCCTTTCTCAGGCTCTCCACAGATCTGGGTGGGGGTTACAGGTGGTTAGACAAGCATGGCAGAACAAAGAGAACCTGGATTTAGGTCCTAGATTTGAATATAGGCTCTGTCACTTGTTACTTGGCCTTGCGTTAACTGACCACTCTCAGGTAAATGGGGCAAACACCTCTTCCGTTACAAGGATTAAGGTAATGATCTATGTGAAAGCATGAGATAAGTGCTGGGTATTGATTCTATACATGAAGGTACACAAAGAATAAAGTTCTATATAAATACAAGGCAATATTATTACATCACTGTACCTATTGCATAGTTTTATAAATCATTTTTCTAGGAGTAAAGGCTCAATGGTAACAAAGGTATCTTACCTTAGCCATTTTCTTCATCCTTCTAAGTTTTCATATTCCAATACCTTTGAACTTTTCTAAAAAACAAATTAAGACCTTAGGAATCCCACTGTGCCTCCCCCCGTCCCTTCATTTCCCTCTTTGGTCCTCTCAGAATTAGAAGGGCTCCATTATTTCTTCTAAAGAGCATCCAGAAAGTGAGAATGACACCCAAACAGACCCCCTGGCTGGGCCTGAGCAGAATGAGAGCAGAGACAACATGGGCATGCCTCTAGGCAAGCTTTATTCTTTGACTCCTCTGTCTGGGAAGGGGGCTGTTAGTAGCATCTCACTCAAATGGAATGCAATGGAAATTGGGGGTTATTTGGAGACTTGTTGATCTTAGTAAATGAATATAGCCCAGCAGCATTTGTGGCCCCAGTGTGTTGTCTCCATCAGTCCTCAAGTGCTTGGCCATGCAGAGTGGGGAACGGTCAGAGGAGACTCATCAGAGGTCCCCAGAGCTTTACCATATCAAGATTCATGAGGTATAGACATGAGGGAAGCGGCTGTTTCCTACTTCTGTCCATTTTAGGAGCAGGAGATGGTTAACAGGTTTTTTTGATGTTTTTTTTTCAATTATCTAGGCAATGGAAAGCTTATAAATGTTCATCCGTGTATTGTTGGTGAATTGCCACCCCAAGTGGTTTCCTTAACTAGTCACTGCTTAGCCCAAAATACCAGAATACAAGGTTCAAACCTCCAAAATTCCACCAGGCTGACCTATACCAGTAACCTGCTTGGTGCTCAAGAAATTACCAGAGTTTTAACAACAAAATTAAGTAAAAAATACCTTTCCTCAAATGGGATCTTTATCACTTAGCTTTGTATGATCCATTTCTAAGAAAGCCACATTCCATTTCAGACAACATGACTACTTAGGGAACAGCTAAAAACAAAGTCCTTGCCTTTAGGTACTTAAGTTTTCATTTTCTTTAAATTAGCCTCTGAAATGCTTGTGTTTCGTAATGCACTCCCGAAAACTGTTACTTTTAAAGACCCAGCAGGCCTCATTTTTATAAAGGAGGAAGAAAACAGCAAAGAAGTGTCCCACTTGGGGGTAATAGGTTATGATCAATGCCTGGAGGTCTTCCTCTTCCTTTACTTGTTACTCAACAAGATGGGTTCTGTGATGCCGCATGAGGTGCGAGTTAGAAATGAAAGCCGCACCACACTTCTCACATTCGTAGGGCTTTTCCCCAGTGTGGGTTCTCTGGTGCACGGTGAGGCTCGACCTCTGCCTGAAGGCCTTGCCACACTCATTGCATGCGTACGGTTTTTCCCCATTATGAATTCTCTGATGAATAAGCAGGTACGAGCTGCACGTGAAAGCCTTCCCACACTCATTACACACGTAAGGAAGATCCCCACTGTGAATCCTCTGGTGCACAATAAGGCAAGAGAGCTGACTGAAGGCTTTTCCACACTCGCTGCAGTCATAAGGTTTCTCTGCAGTGTGAATTCTCTGGTGCACAATAAGGTGAGAAAAACAACTAAAGGCTTTTCCACACTCTTTACACTCATATGGCTTCTCACCAGTATGGCTTCGCTGATGCACAATAAGATTTGCACTCTGGGTGAAGGCTTTGCCACAATCATTACAGGCAAAGGGCTTTTCACCAGTGTGGATCCTCTGGTGGACAATGAGGTTTGAGCTCCGAGTAAATGTTTTCCCACACTCATTACATTCATAGCATTTTTCTGTAATGTGGACTTTCTGGTGCCGAGCAAGTTGTGAGCTATAACTGAAGGCTTTCTCACATTCACTGCACTTAAAGATTTTTTCTAAGGAGTGGATCTTTTGATGTACAGTCAGATTTGAACTCTGAGTGAAGGCTTTCCCACATTTTGCACAAACGTACGGTTTCTGTCCAGTGTGGATTCGCTGATGCACAACAAGGTTTGCACTCTGAATGAAGGCCTTCCCACACTCATGACATTCGAAGGGTTTCTCCCCAGTGTGGATTCGCTGATGCACTACAAGGTTTGCACTCTGACTAAAGCCCTTCCCACACACGCTACATGTAAAAGGTTTCTGCCCAGGCTGGCTTTTCTGATTTTTAACAGTGCCAGAACTAAGGCTGTATCTTTCCCCAGATTTCTGACATTTCTGGTCTTCCTCTTCTTTGAAGCTTTCAGGTATGTGACAGTCCTTCACTGTCACTTGTCTGAAATCTTTCTTCTCCCTCTTGATTCTCTGCCTCTTTAACATGTTCCCTTTTTCACAGGCTTCTCCTAACTCAGGTCCTTGAGGGTCAAGTTTCTGGATTCTTTCTGATATTATGAAGGGTTTTTCTGCTTCATCACATATCTCAGTTTTTGGAACCAGTAACTGTGGCTTCTTGGTTTCAGCACCTGAAACAACAAAGAGAAAATACAAATGTCAGATTTTTATGGCCTAGAAAAAGAATAGGATCATCATCTCATAAAGGTCAGGAAGTACATGACTTCACTATCTGCAAAATACCTTCAACAAGGAAAGAATTCCTTCATGTGTCACCTCTTCTCTGCAGATTCTTCTACCAGGTCTGTGCCCTCCTCCCACTAGAGCAGAATCCACTGACTCACGGTCTTTCCAGCACTTCTGCTTACCTCCATTAGCCATTTAACACACTGCCTCCTGCCAGGGAAGCCGTCTCCAGACAGCTGTCCTACTGGTTGTGTAATGACTGATCTCACAATTATTATACCGGTTATGGAGGACACCAGTCTCTCCCCAGCCTTGCCTTCTTACTTTAGCCACTTAGTGTGGATTTGCTTACAACTCTCCAGTTAATTAGGGAGATTCACTCCCTGTGAACAAAGATCTAGGCAACTTAGGCTTTTGTGTATGATGATGCTGGATATCAAAGAAAGGATAAGCATGGAGAGAAAGGGTCACAATGGATGCCAAGAGGGCCATAGTAGCCAAAAGCATCCGTAACACTGAGAGGCTGCGCAGCACAGAGGTTAAGAACATCCTGGAGCCAGACTGCCTGGTTTCAAATCCCTGCTCCACTACTTACCAGGTGCGTAACTTTGGGCTAGTAACTTAACTTCTCTGTGCCTCAGTTTCCTTATCTCTAAAATAGGGGCAATAAGACCACAAAAGGATTTACTGAGTTACTCTATGTCAATTGCTGAGAACAGCCATGGAGCTCAGTAAGTGACTTTGTGAGAATCTGCAGTGACTTCCAGCCTGACCACTGGTGCTGTGGCTCAAAGTGGGCCAGGAGGAAAGATGAACCTTAGGGGATGGGAGCTGATATAGTGATAGATGGCAACACTAGAAGGGACTAAAAAAGAATGTGAACCGAGTAAACAGTTTACCCCTTGTGGGAGAAAAGAGCCTACCCTGTGTCAAGGAAAGCTGACCTTTTTGAGTTAAGCGTGAGACATGGCATAGCCTGTTCCATAATGCCAAAAATATCATGAGAACACCAAAACATCCTGAAGTTTTAAAACTCTGACTAGTCTCTGCTGCTCTACCTCGCCTCAGAACCCTAATGGTGTCAGAAAGGGGGCATGCAGTCAGTAACATCATAGGTCTTCAGGTGTGTCTCCTCTCCACCCCCACCACCCTTGACCCTGGAATGTGCATCCACGCAGCCCCGTGTTGGTAGAGTAACTCCTTAATAAGTGTTTGTGAATTAAACCAAGCTCACGAAAACTACTCAGATAATAAGGCAAGTGAAATGAGGGCCAGCAGGAGTGGGAGGCAAGCCTGCAGAGAAGGGAGGTATTCCCACTGGTGGTGTCAGCTTAGACGTGAGCAGTGAAGCCATGAGCTGCAGCAACTGCACAGAGGGAATCCAGCATCCACAAAACATCCTACTGGCAAAGCCAGGGCAACTCTCCCACCAATGAGATGTGGGTGGGACAAGGATGTTGGGTAGTACAAAGCAATATGGGGGGCAGGGCAGGGAAACAGCCCAGTTTGGCTGCCTGGATAAGACCACGGTATGAAATTCCATCACAATCATTCAGATAAGATGGACAGTGTCAGAGGAAGGGAATGCCTGAGCACTGGATACAATAGAACCCCCAACATAACAACAACAAAAAAATCTGAAATGCTAATCTTTTTCTGCTAATTTCAATTTCTACTCATGTCTTTTTTAATCTACTCCATTCTTCTCCCTGTAGTTTAACTGCTCTTACATCTTTTTCTTTCTTATCTTACTTTTTCCCTACTACCTCTTTCCCCTACTGCCTCTTCATCTCTCCTCTCCTAGTTTTTATGTAAAAAAAATTTTGTGTGTGAAATATTCTGATTTTTTTCCCTTGTATAACTATACAAGGAAACTATACACGTCTCTTCTGCTTTTCTTTTGCTCATTACTTTTTCTCTTTCATGTTCTCTACTATTCTAGATCACTTACTTCTCATCCTATTATTCTCCCTTCTAACGTTTCCTTCTCTGCTTTTTTTTTTTTTTTTTTAACCTCCTTCTTCTTTCCTTTAGCTCTCCATCACTGACACTTAGGGGCCTCGCTTCCCCCACCAAGCATCCCTCCAACAGGAACAAAGTCCAATAATATTTTAGCCTATAGCCTCACTCTCTCCCTTGACCTCACTCCTATCCTCCTTACTGTGAGATTCAGAATATTAGAAAGACATAAAAGATAAAGAGCAGCTGGAACTATGGAAGCAATTAGAGCCAATAACAGAAACAATTCCTTGGATCTGCATAATACTTTATGTCAAAATTATTGCAGAACCAGGTACAACCACAGCCTAGAAGGTCTTAGTGTAGTGATTATTTAACATTTTTATCACAGGGATGATGTAAGAGCTAGGGTCTTGGCAAGTGCCCAGGGTCTAAGAAAAAGGAATTAAGGCCCATCTTGTGTGTTCAAGCTCAAATCTCCTCGGGTGATTAATTAGCCAATAACCTAGAACCTGTACCTTGGCTTGTCTGAGATGGTATTTTTCATTTTTTGGATCTTATAGGATTACTATAACTCTAGGAAAGTACAGAAATAAATATAGAAATAATGAAGAAATACACTCAGAACACATTTGTTTTTCAACTAGAGCACAGGTGCAATATTAAGTCTTGAAATCAACACTTTTCATTTTTTTAAAAAAGAGATCTGAAATGTTATATGAGTCTGCCTCTTAACTGGTGATTGTATTCTGATATAAAAGGTAATTTGATTTACTAACTTTATAAGTACAACTCATTAGATTTAGAAAAGCTGTGTGTTTATCAAGATTTTATTTATAAGATTTGTAAGTATGCCTACTTAGGTGTTTGAAATGTTTTAAAGAATTAGATATATTAAATTTGCAATTTAATATATTTTTTGTTTAAGGAAATAAAAATAAGGAAATTTTTTTTTAGAGCCAGCGCTGATGGCCTAGTGGTTAAAGTTCAGCGTGCTTCACTTCAGTGGCCCGGGTTCAGTTCCCAGGTGTGGAACCACACCACTTGTCTGTCAGTAGCCATGTCATGTGGCAGCAGCTCACACAGAACTACAAGGACTTACAACTAGAATATTCAAATATGTACTGGGGCTTTGGAGAGGGGGGAAAAAAATAAGGAAATTTTTATATAAGGAAATTGATATGTAGGTGAGTAAAATGTTTTAAAAAGTTTAAAAATTGTAATCTGTAAAATTTGAAGCTTAAGTAAGCTTGCATTAAAGAAAACGCATGCATTAAAGAAAAAGTATGTGTCCTCTTTTTTACAAAAATATTTCTAGATGTATCAATGCAATAAAAATCAGTTATACTTAAAAGCTTAAAAACTTGGTTTTAAATGTATAAACTTGAATAAATTCAATATTAATTAATACATAGGAAACTGCAGATAAAACTCTCACATATCAACAACCCAGCAACACATCAAAATTTCCAAGGCACTTTCAGATATATTACATGATTTTATCATCAAGATGAAACTATTCTCCTTTACTTGTATTGGAGCCAAAAAAGGGCAAGGCAGTGTCTTATTCACTGCTGTATCCTCAGCACCTATCACACTGCCCAGCACACAGGATACAGGCCCCTGACAAATCCTATATTTATTGAATGAACGCACCCCAGTTTACAGAACAGGAAATGGAGGTCCAGAGTGAGAAATGAATTGCTTAAGGTCACACAATTATCAGAGGCAGGGCAACTACACTCAGGTCTCTCTCTTAATTTCTAGAGCTTAGTGTTCCCGCCATTACCTGCTGCTATGGAAGTGGCTGGCAGCGCAGAAAGGTAAGTCTTGGCTGGGAAAAGCAGAGAAGGAAAACAGTGGCCATTCCTGGTGGATAGGTGCAGCTGTTGGAATGAAGACTATGAATGACTGATAAAGCAAGGAAACAGAGAAGAAGAGACACACAGGGGAATGCACCAGGGAGAATGGAACAGAAAGCAGAAAGTGGGGAAAAGAAGCTGCTGCGAGTTTGGGGAATAATTAAAGAAGAGACAAGAAAACAAAAGGTGTCAATCCTAACCTTCCCCACAACACTAGTTTAAGAAAGTGACTTGGTCCACAAATGACTCATTTGGCTAGGGAGGAGAGTGAGTTCAAAATATTCAGGCATAGCCCTGCACCAGGCAGACTCACAGAATGTAAGTGCCAGAGGGGCCTTGGCAGTCATCCAGGAATTGTTTCCACACCACAGGACTCATGGCTACCACATTCTTGACCCAGTTACCTGTCACCCCTTCAGAGGTAAGCTTCTGCCACTGCTAGTCAGACATATCCTAAGTCCCAGCTTAGCAAGAACCAGGTGATAAGCCAGCTGTCAGTACCCTCCATGAAGATCTGGCTTTGAACATCATTATGGCTGACACAACTGCTCAAAATCCTCTAGAATTTGCACAAAGATCTATTTAAACAGAACATCTCCAGGGCATTTCCTCAAAATTACCACAAAAATTGACCCTTCTCACCTCAGCTAGTTTCTCTTGCAGGCTCACCAACCTACAACAAACACAAAGCATACAGAGGACATGTATGAATAGATATGAAACTTGCTGAACAATAAATGTGATTAAAAGGTGAATTTGAAGTTCACCTGTGTTTGTCTGGTATCTTGAGACTGTGTGGAAAATAAGCCATTTCCTGTAAGAAACACACAGGCAGCTTTCAGCATTCCTTTATCCAGCTCTCCCCGACACTTTCAACACCTCAATACGCTGTTGCTCAAGCCAGGAGACCAGACCACTAGACTCTGAAAAGATTTTGAGAAACCCCAATAATGGTCAGATACTGAATCAGGGGGTTGAACCTTACCTAGATAGGTTATGTTCCCTTGAGTCTCCAGGATCTCGCTCTCGGCCAGAGCCCCTGGTGATGAGTAGCTGCCAAGGGTTGAAGCAGCAGGTGCCTCCTGCATTGCTTTCACGACTACAGCCATGTCCCAGAACATGTTCTGACCCTAGAGACAAGCAGGCACAGGTGGGTTTATGAGGGGATTGTTGGTGGGAGGTGGTGTGATTACAGCTTTGAGGATGAGAACATAAGTACCTATTCCTGGAGGCCATAAAAACACACACACACACACAATTTTTAAAAACCCAAACATTTGAAAAAAAAAAAAAAAAAGGAAAAGGAAGCCAGAGTCTTCCCCAATTCCCACGGTGAGTTAGGCAGAGAAGCAAGCCTGCCACCTTCTTCCCTATCACTGTGATTTCACCTCACTGAACTCCAGCATCCAAACCTAACTTGCCAGGGAGTGCATGACAAGATAAGAGGGCACATGAGGAGATTTTCCAGAGCAGACTTTTCTGAGGTCTAAAGATCAAAGAAGCAAGGTTCTGATCATATTATTACAGAGAGGCTTTGGGAAACCTCAGTCTTCATCTGGCCAGTGATGGTAAGGGGTGTGTTTGAAAACATTAAGGACCACAGTATAGTGTATAGCCTCATTACTCAAAATGTGGTCCACAGATCAGCAGAATCACCATCACCGAGGAGCCTGTGAGAAATGCAGAATCTCAGACCACACCCCAGACCTCCTGAATCAGAATCTGTATTTTAACAAGACTCCCCAGTGATTCCTATGCATATTAAAGTTTGAGAAGCACAGCATAGTTATCAAATCCTGACTGGAATCACCTGAAGAGTTTTTAAAAAATACAGATGGCTGGGTCCCACTCCCAGAGATTCTGATTTAATTGGAACGGGATATGGCATAGGCATCACAATTTTATAAAAAGCTCCCCAGGTAATTCTTTGTAGCAAAGTTTGAGAACCACTGGTTTACAGAAAGTACTAAATGACACATCAATCAGCAGAGAATATTTCTATCACAGTCTTGCACTGGGTAACAATGTTGTGTGGTCAACAGCATATATGATGCTGGTCTCATAAGATTAGTACCATATAGCCTAGGTAAGTAGTAGGCTATAGCATCTAGGCTTGTGTAAGTACACTCTGTGACGTTCACACGATGAAATCACCTAACGATGCATTTTTCAGAACGTACCCCTGTCGTTAAGTGAGGCTTGACCATATATTCCAAAGGACTAGAAGTCAGAGCCCTAGCCAGGAAACAAGACTCCAGGGGTGGAAGCAGAGGGACAGAGTCCCCTCTGAAACCACTTGAGGTCTTCATGTCTCTCCTCCCCACTTCCTCCCAGACCATCACTTACCTTTCCCTCCTGTTCTGATACATCAAGGCCTGTCTGAGGACCCTCCCCAGGGGCCCAGACTTTGACGTTCTCAGAGCGCACTTGTTGGCTGGATGCCTGACCTAGGAAGTTTTCCTCTTCTTCCTCCTCCTTTTTCACTGTCACTAGGCCCCAAGGGGCCAGGGCCATGGCCTCTCCCAATTCTGCAGTCATCTTCTCTCCTCAGCAGGGGAGCTTCTATAGCTGGGGGCTGCCCAGTACAGGTCAAGCCCCATCTAATCTTTAAGTTTCAAAATCTTCTTCTTGAGTTTCTTCCCAGGTCCAGGATGAGTACTGTTTACTGAGAAATCAGAAAACATCATTAGCACCGAGCAGAAGTTTGCCTGGATGCCACTACGCCCACTGGCCAACTTGACCACTGCCTGGGCAGCGGCCACAGCAACACAAGGTCTGCTCCACTCCTCCCTAATAGGAGGGGACTGGACTACAAACATGTAATTTGTCCCCATAGTAATCACATTACAAACAGCTTTATATAATGTTTATTGACTTTTTCCTGATTATAAAGTTAATATATATTTATAGTAAAAACTTGAAAAATACAGAAAATGATTAAGAAAAACCACCCCAGGTCCACCTCCAAAGAGATAACCACTGTATATTGTAAAATTTAATATATTTCTTTTAAGGGAAAACTTTCAACCACACTGAAAATTGTGACAATAAATTTTTTGTTTTTAATCATGGAGATACATATTTTCAAAATTATCAGGTTTTTTTTTTTTTAAGAAGGAATATTACAACACAAAGATTTTTTTTTTTATCGCCAAGGATACACAATAGCATGAATGAAAGAATTTCAAGAAAAAGACTGGGAGTTTAGACACCAACATGTTAGGGGTGGTCATCTCTGGGTGATGTAATTGCAGATAGTTTTGAGGTTCTTTTGTGTGTGTGTGTGTGAGGAAGATTGGCCCTGGGCTAACATCCATGCCCATCTTCCTCTACGTTATATGTGGGACGCCTGCCACAGCACGGCTTGATAAGCATTGCGCAGGTCTGTGCCTGCGATCCAAACCTGCAAATCCTGGGCCACTGAAGGAGAGCGTGCGAAGTTAACCACTATGCCGCTAGTTTTGAGGTTCTTTTTGTTTGATTTTTATTTTTTTTTATTTTCAAAGATTGTTTAAAGCTCCTTTTGTTTTTTGTTGTTGTTGTTGGTTTTTTTTGTGAGGAAGATCAGCCCTGAGCTAACAGCCACGCCAATCCTCCTCTTTTTGCTGAGGAAGACCGGCCCTAAGCTAACATCTATTGCCAATCCTCCTTCTTTTTTTCCCTTTTTCTCCCCAAAGCCCCAGTAGATAGTTGTATGTCATAGGTGCACATCCTTCTAGTTGCTGTATGTGGGACGCCACCTCAGCATGGTCGGACAAGCGGTGCGTGGATGCGCGCCCGGGATCCGAACCCCGGCTGCCAGTAGTGGAGCGCGCGCACTTAACCGCTAAGCCACAGGGCTAGCCCTTGTTTGATTTTTACATTTTCCATTTCTTCCAAATGTCTTGTGAGATCAAGTATTAGTCTTGTAAGATCAAGTATTACTCTTAACATAAAAAAAGACATTTTTTCATGTTGCCATTCTTCATGTACATCATTTTTAGTAGCAACACAATAACCTATGATGTTAATCAACTGTCATTCCCATTGAAAAAGGATCAAGTAATACAGAAATATACAGCATTAAATATATGTCCCCCTCCCCACGCAGAGTAATTAGTTATCAGTCACCAGTGTTTTCTCTGCATTTCCATACACATATGTACACCTTCATAAATATTGCTTATTTTCCAAAAACATACATTAGATCACACTTGTACATTGTTCAGCAACTTGCATTGTTTGTTTTCTGAACTCAATTTCCATACTGCATAATGATCTTAGAGGTTCCAATATAAGTACATATAGAGCTACCTCATTCTGGTATAGTATTCTAAATTATAGCTATGTTATAATTTACTTAACCGTCCCCTATTTATGAACCATTGCTTTAGTAAAAGGAGTTTTCACTGTTTACAGTTTGTTTTCTCAACAATAATTCATGTTAAAATTTTTCTGTGCAATTAGTTTTTTCTTCTGAATTATTCCTTTAGAATAGAGGAATTACTGGTTAAAGGATTTTATGGTCGACATGTACTGCCAAGTTGATTTCTAAAAGGACCACGCCAAATCACACCGCCACCAACTTAACAGTTCCCCTTAATCATAGCCAAGCTAGCAGGCTTTTGTTGTTTTTAAAAATCTGTGAGTAAAATAATCTTACATTTTAGTTCATTATGAAGAGAATGAAAATTTTTTATTCCCCTATAGATGTTTTATTAGGAAAAAAAGGGCTAAATTTCATTAAGTCCTCTTTTCCTGCTACTGAAGTGATCATATGCGTTTTTCCTATGTTAACTTACCCCCAACTTATTGTATACATCGAATTTCTTGAGTAATGCAATACTTTCATTCCTGCAACAAATTTTAATTCTGGAGAATTATTCTTTCCAAGACTTTGGAATTCTACCAGGTAGACTTTCCAATTCTACCAGGTAGGAAGGCCCTCAACACTCGTTTCACCTGTGTATACGCAAGATTGCCTACTGGGAGTCCTGTCATCAGACTGCTGATCAAACTCAAACTGGCCTCCAGCCCCAGGCAGCACAGAGGCCCCTACCAAGGGCTTCCCTTTCAATGTCCTTTCCCTATTTCCCTACCTCCAGGCCCCACGTAGCCCTGCTCCCGGGGTGAGCTTGGCCCCTGGGGTGGTCTGTGTCCAACCTTTCCCGGGCCAGGCCCCCGGTGGACGACAGCCGGGTTTCCGAGGTTGTGGGCACGGAGCCGCCCCCGGACAGCCGGGGCTGGGGTCCTCGACAGGACACGGCGGGCCGCCCCTGGGATGGCCCCACCCCGCGCCCCACAGATTCGCGCTCACTCCCGCCAACGCCGCTCACCTTGCGCCGCCGGGAGGCCACGCCAGAGATGCCTAGCTCCGGGGCAGGACGCCAGCAGACCCGGACCCCTAAGACTACCGGCGCGAGAACAATGACCGGACAGGAAGTGCCTGGGGATGGGCTTCCGGCTCTCCAATCGCCAGACCGGCCTCTCTAGGAATCTCGGAGGTTGCTTTCTTCTCGATGGGTGTCCAACGTCGCTCCGGACCAGGGATGCGAGCAGCAGCGTGCAGGTGGACTGTGGCCCTGAGCCTCAGGAAGAGGGGCATCCCCAGGCTGGGAAGGGACAGTTAAGCGAGGCACGGACCTGGGAGCCTGAAGCTACAAAGCATTAATCTGTGGAAAGCCCTGATAATTTGCCCCAAACGTTTTATTTTGAAAATATCAAAGGCTACAGAAAAGTTGAAAGAATGGTACAATGAATACCTGTATCCTCCATCTGGACTCGACAATACCTTGCTACATTTGCCCTATCTCTCTATACATACTGAAAAACATTTTTTTGAAAGTTGTAAACATCAAAACACTTCATTCCAAATACTTTAATATGCATCTTTTAATAATAATTCTCCAAACAATGATTACAGGTCAGAAAATTAACAATTCCCTAATATCATCTAATATCCAGTCATATTCAAATTTCCCCAACTGTCCTAAAATATATATTTCATAATTTTGTTTTTCCAAATCATTTTCACACACTGCATTTGGTTATGGCTCTTTAGGGTTTTACTTTTTACTTCGAATTTATAGATTCACAGGAAGTTGCAAAGATAATACCCTTCACTTTCCCCCAGTGGGTACATCTTACATAATTATAGTTTAATATAAAAATTAGGACATGGACATTGGTACAATGTGTGTGTACACTTCTACATCATTTTATCACATGTGTAGATCTGTGTAACCACCACCACAATCAAGATACACAACTGTTCCAACATCACAAAGACCTCTCTGTTGCTACCCATCCCTCTCCCCCTGCTCCCTCCCACCATCCCCAACCTCTGGCACCGCTGTTTTTCATCTCTATACTTTTGCCATTTTAGAATATTAAATAAGCAGAGTCATACAGTATACGACCTTTTGAGATTGGACTTTTTCATTCAGTATAATTCTCTTGAAATTCACTTGAGTCACTGAAGGTATCAATTGGTCATTCCATTTTATTGCAGAGTAATGTGTTCCATGGTACAGATATACCAAATTTGTTTTAACCACCTGTTGAATGATATTTGTGACTTACAGATTTTGACTAATACAAATAAAACTGCTGTGAACAGTCATGTACAGGTTTTTGTGTGAACATAAGTTTTCATTTCTCTGGAATAAATGCTCAGGAGTGCAAATATAAGTGCATGTTTGGTTTTATAAGAAACTATCAAACTACTTTCCAGAGTGGCTGTACCATTTCACATTCCCAGCAACATAAGAGATTCAGTTTTTCTGCATTTTTGCCAGCATTTGGTGTTAACATTATCTTTTTTTAAGCTATAGGTGTGATTTTTAACTTGCATTTGCCTAATGGCTACTAATGTTGAACATCTTTTCATTTACTTGCCATCTACACTTTGGTGAAATGTCTGTTCATGCCTTTTGTATGTTTTCCAATTGGATCTATTCATTACTGCTGAGTTTTGAGAATTCTCTGTATAGTCTAGAAAGAAATCCTGTGTTGGATATATCAATTGCAAATATTTTCTCCCAGTCTGTAATGTCTTCCCATCCTCTTAGAAGAGTCTTTTGCAGGGCAAATAATGTTAATTTTGATGAGGTCTAATTTATCATTTTTTTCCCTTTTATGGAGCATGCTTTTGATATGTGTAAGAGTCCTTCACTTAGTCCTAGTTCCTGAATTTTTTTTTTCCTATGGCGATCCAATTGGTCCAGCAGCATTTGTTGAAAAGGCTATCCCTCCTCTACTGAATTGCTTTTGCACCTTTGTAGAAAATCAACTGGGCATTTGTGTGAGTCTATTCCTGTCTTAATATCTTATGGCTCTTCAATATCTCTTAAAAACAACCCCCCTCACCCACTTTATACTTTTCATTATGGAAAATTTCATACATATACAAAAACAGAGAACAGTACAACGAACTCTCAATATTAATCCAGCTTCAACAATTATCACCCCCTCCCTTTTCATCATAATTATCTTTTTGAAGAATCGAATACAGTTTTCTTATATAATCAATATCCCATGTCCTGAGTTTCTCATGGTGTCATTTATCTCATTCCTCTGCCTCTTGTATTTCCTGTAAACTGGCAATCAGGTCTAAGAAGCTTGATAAATTCAGGTTATACTTTTGGCTTATTCCCATCACATGCAGCAGCACATTATGTGGGTTATCCTAGTCTCAGTGACGCTACATTTTAATTGGTTAAGAGGTAAATGCCAGCTTTCTCTATTGTTAAAGTACATCTTTCCCTTTGTAATTATTACATAATCTGGGGTGATTCTTCTACAGTATGAATATAAAGCATCTTCATATTCATTACCTCATAACAACTTTGTGAGGTAGATATTCTTCCTCCTGTTTTACAGATGAGGAAATCAAGGCTCCAAGAAATGAAGGAATTTATCCAAGGAAAGTGGCAGAATTTGACTC